GGCCATGGCTATCAAACAGGTCTGCACCGCAAATGAACTGCCAACTGCCTGCCTCCATCAAAGACACCACCGGTCAGATCTCTATATAACTTTGGTTGAAGTTAAACGGCTTGCTCCACGGTCAAGGTCATCAACATTTAGACTAACTTCAATTCTGTGGCCATAACCTTTCTATGGCAAAATGGCTTGTGCTTATTTAAATACTGTAGCCTTTGTTTTTTGCTGTTCTGGGTTGCTCGCATCTTATTAAAGTTGTCCGGTTGTAGGCATCAGGGTGTTGTCGTCATAGGCCTGGCACTCCCTCCGCATACATGTCCATCCTTTTGTTCATGCTTTTGTCAAGACTTTGCAATCGCTTTCGACAAAAAAACACATTGGCATCAAAGCATAGTGTCACCCTTCATAACATGTTCATTGCTGTCATCATCTTTGTTCACACCCACTCGATTATTAAATGGCCTCGAAATGGTGTGGGGGAGTTCTCGTGTTCAGTGTTGTCCGCAGTTTATCTTGACATGTTCTGCACTTGTCAGCCACTGCTCCAAAACCTCAATTGTTCGAGATACATATTTGTCAAAGTAACATTTGGCGTTTGTGGTCAAAGGCATTTGGTAGTTATACACTTGATTGGAGTTTTGTATCTATACGATCCTAAGCCATTCGTTTGGCCGAGTTTATGCCAGTAGCAGTAATATGAAAGCTATTTCAAACGCTATTTTCTGGAGACCGGCTTGCTGCAAACATTGCTGTTCTACCAAAGGCTACAACCACCTCTCTCCAGGGATAGACGCATCAAACTGCAAGTTCGCGGAGGCATCCAAGTCACTGGACATGGTCGCCTGCGGTTTTTCTTGGTAAGATTTGGTTAGAGTAGGGTGGAGCGGTCTAAAGAGCACAGTACAATGAAACAAATGACTGGCAAAACAAAATTAAAAGATATTAAACGATACTATATATAAAAGGAAAAAAACCCGAGAAGGGGGAAACGAAAAGCAGAAGCAACTGCCTGCTAGACCTGTCCATGATTGATCATGATTGCCCATGGAAGGGCATGATTTGCATGATTTGGGAGATTCTGGTCAAGGAGTTCTCCTTGCAAGGCAGGGCTTGACAGCATGGGTGAAGGGTCAAAAAGGAATAAGAATGGCATCACTAAAAAGATATTCGACGGGGATCAACAAGAAAAAATAGGTATAAGAAAAAGATTCCAAGTGAACAACGCAAGGAAAAGGGCGAGAGCATGCAATATTTGGCGTGGATATGCGATGGGTGACCTTTAAGACTCCCGTCGCGGCAAGCTAACTGCATTGGCAAAAGTAATTCAGATTTCGTGGTGCTGGAGGGGGTTGCAAACTACAAAAGCCACCAAACGCTGAAGGCACCACAAAATACATCACCATCGAAAACTACACACCCTAATGCCCCATCAATGAAGGGCTCATTCACCACAGGACAATGAAAGAATGCTTTCAACACAAAATGAAAAGGATTAAGCGAGCATGGCAAGCATGTGCAATATTTTGTGTGCAATGGGTGCCTGGTGTCCTTTAGAAAATCTGTCGTTGTAGGGGGTTGGGGTGGAGGGCGCAGCACCTCCCCCAGAGCGAACCAAGCACCACAAAATACATCACCATCGAACAACTACACACCACCGCATTGCCTCATCAATGAAGGGCACTCATAAAGTGAGGCAATGATCAAGGCAACCGGGCAGCGCAGCAAACCAATGGACCAGGGGATGAATGGAGCAGGGGACCAAAGGACTAGGGGACCTGCTCAGGATTATTACTTTTTTGATCATCTTTTTGTTTGATCATGTTCTTTTTCTTTTGATCTAGATGCCTGACAGCATTGCTCAGTCTGATCCGGATGCGGTCACTGATTCAAGGGAAAAGGGCTGGACGTGAGAGTCACATCCCTTGGGATTACAGTAGTGCCGATCACACCCCCAATTAATTATGCCGCTATGACTTTCACACGTTAAGACCGTGAACCAGTAAGTCTGGATAGAATGTCACCCAGACATTCAATACACATGAACTAAATAGTGTCGTTAGAGCGTGTTGCTGATGCACATGATGCACTAGCTCATTCACCTTGCACCTTGTGCATCACCAACCCTCCAAAAATCACATCCTTGGCAAATTACAAACACCAGCACGCTAACGTACTTTTCCGCACCCCCTAAAGACTCGCTTCGTTCGCAGGAAATAACTTCAGCCTAGCCCATCGGCTGGCTTTCGTGAAATACTGCGCTGGTGCTGCTGCCTTCAGCAAGCACAATGACTACTCTGACTACTCATGAGCAAGGGCTTTGAGTGCATAGCGGCATAGCGGCATAACGGTGACATGATATGGCACAGCCAAGAATCCAACTGCCGACATGTGGACAATGCTCTTATAACCTTTGTTGATCCGCGATCAGCAATCCAGCTCATTCTAAAAGAATGGCACCTGGAATTGACATCTGGAATGCCGAATAATTGCATAAGTATCGCAAAAGAATACAGAACAGGGGACCACGGGCGTCCCGAAAACACGATAAAATCGCGATTTAAAATAACTAAAGATATAGTGAACACACAAACATTCAGCAAAACAAATACAGTATCAAAAACACATAGCACAAACAAATAATGAGTAAACACATCTTTTCAACACATATAGGAAAACAAAATTTACATTCTATATTTCAAACAAAACTGGTATTTAAAAGAAACTATGAAATATAACTAAGACTAGCAGGTTTGGGGGGGGTCCCCGCCCCCCCCTCTCGATCCGCAGGAAATATTTGAATAGCACCATTGATATCCAGTATATCTGTTCCATTCCTTAATTCATTGATTGCTAAATAACCAGCAGTATTGCCAATCCTTACACCGCTATTAGAAATATAGTTCAACTGCATCTCTTGACCTGCTCCTTAAGTAGTCATATCATCTCATATATTCAACCTCTGAACTTACACCATCAGAATTAGCACCATTAAAAAAAAGGTATCAGTGTCTAATGACCCAATCTTGTTGTTTTTTTTGGTTTTGTCGTGAAGGAAAAACATGTAAAATAATCCTAACCTTTTTATTATGACGAATTATGAATTGTATGAAGTCCTTTTTTTGCGACGTTGTTTATGCTATATATTATTTGAACAATCAGGTCTGTTGAGATGTCTGTTGAGATGAGCTGATGACCTCATAAAATAACTATGATATGAGAACAAATTGCACGCCCACAGTCCCCCGCCCTCCAGAAATAAGGGAGTTATAATTCCACAGTCTGTGGCCCGAACTTTCTTGCATTTAGCATGCATTTGTTTGACTATATAGGGTCTTTGATTGGCCATTGGTTTAGTTGGTTTGATTTGGCTGGAGGCATGAACTCGAGCGACAAGCATCCTCCCTTTAAAATTCTGACAGATGTGGGACATCCACGAATGTCAACTCTCCATGCTGCATTTTTCCCAAGCCTCACTGTCCGAGGACAATCTGAAAAGTTCTCTGTGAAGGAAGTCTCTGCAGCCTGGCATCCTTCGGACCCGGCTGCCATCGGCTGCCCCACAAGGTCCCGCCACGTCTTGCTGCGATTTGGCTACCCAGGCTCCAAGGCAGATCATTCCCAGTGTGCAATCCCTGCGCTGCAATCCCTTAACTCTGCCCGTCACAACAAGTCGCGCACGACAAAACCATTAACTTCTCAAATGCCTCACCAGCACCTGAGATCGCATTGCTTCTCCACACTTGGGCTGCAGCTAGCAGCTGGGCGAAAGTCGTGTGAAGCTCGATTAGGGAACTGGCTGCTCCAAGAGCCCAGAAACTCTAAGGTGCACACTCATCTAGAACCTCTTCTAGTCGATGTTGCTCTTGCATCTTTGGCTTTAAGAGCTCCAACTCCTGCAAGTAGCCGAACATCAATATAAAAGCTCGTGGACAACAGCAACACAAAGAGCGCAAAAACGGCACCACATTAAATCAACACGGCGAGAGACATTTCCAACTACAATCACACCAATCCTGCATCTGTGGATCGTTTGGCTGCGTCTGAGTCGTGGAAACCCTCTCCACTTCAGCAGGCGAAGGCCTAAACAGTAACAGGTGAACCACAAATCGTCACAAATGTATATAGACAGTATGATGATCTACCAAACGCTGCAGCTAATCGTGCTCACACCACACTTCGACCGGCTTAGCTCTAGACTCTAGCAGCTAGCAACAACAATGTACAAAACATCACACTGGTGGAGGGATTGGGTCATGACACGGTGGGGATGAGGTCCAAGAGCTGCAAAAAACGTCAGGAGCTTCCATGGAATAGGCATAAGTAGTGCATGGCGATGAGAAGGACAGGGAGACGTGGAGAAATGCCAAAGTAAAGAAAACAAAACTGCACCACCTGCAACATCATCTCTTAAGCAAAGCACGAAGACTGAAAGCAAAAGGAGGCCAACTAACATGTCTTGTAGTGAATGGTCGGCAAAGCCCAAGCAACACCACACTGGAGGGAGATGAAAGCAAGGCATGCAGCATTTGTCACGACTATTGCGGACAATGCGAGAATTGATCACAACAACACCCAAATAGATGCCGCAGTGTGCCGGCTGTCAATTTCTGTGAGGCTGGTCTACAATGGCGACAACAATTGCCACCTATTTGTCCATTTTTGTGCAACAATGCATGTGCCCGTCATATGTTTAACCGTTTGCACCCATTTGCCCCTATCCTGACAAATAAGCGGCAATGATGATGTATCAGGTTCGTATGGCGAAAGTATTCAATCGAGAACCATTCGGGTGTGTCTCATTACTGGGGCCAGCAGTGAGCTCTTTGAAGCATGAGCCAACCCATTCCAGACAGGAGGGTAAGAGGCAGCACAACAATCCTAAGTTAACACTGCAAGCGTGATGCAAACAAATGGCCAGTACATGAAACCAATGCAATGATCTTCTATGCACTGCTTGGACTGATATGGCGGCTCGGGGCGCCACTCCGCCACAGGTGTGTCAATCATGCCATCTGCTGCCCAAGTTGTTGCAGGAGCAGCAGCGGCCGCGATCTTATCAAAGGAAACCTCACTCCGGCACCATCAAATCTGACACTTCAAAACGAGTTGCGTTTGTACTGTATTCCTCATGTGTTCCCCAAGAGCTGTGATGATGCAACATTTGGGCAACAATTGAATTGTGATGCGGGTCAAACTTGCCACATTTAGGAACTGGCGCCGAATCTATGCACACGCAACTCACAACTACTTGCAAAGTTGGAGTCATGAGGGAGTAAAATTTGCGAATGGTTAGGGTTCATTTTCTCTGATCAAACGCATTCACATGCGTGGGCAGTGGGCAGGACGTCATCTTACTGTAGTCGCTTTAAAGGACCTTTTGCGCGTTCCCTGCAACAAGCAACGATCACAGCTATCCAAACTATCCAATTTGCAGGTTCCGTCTTAAGTTCTGGCAACGTGCAAGGTAATCAGCAATCTCAATATGATCAGTATGTACAAATCATCGGCTTCATTGCAAATATTGAAACAGCCTCAACAACGAGGTGGAAAGTTTGCACATGACCCGACTACATGAATTACTACCATATACGCAATTTCTTTCAAACAATTATACTAGCATAGACCCGGCCCCAAACAGCTTCAAAGCGATTCGCTTAGACCAATATTAGTCAAAAATCAATTTCTTGGTACGCCTACTTTCACCCCAAGAACAAACTGTTTCATCAATGAATTTTTGGCATTGACATCGCCATTTGTTCGGCCACACTCCTCTCCAGTAAGCCGGGCCACAGAGACCAGCCACAGAGTTCAGGGGCGCGGCCAAGACAAGGACAAGAGGAGGACAAGACCCGGACACAGAGCCCAGCCACACAGAGTTCAGGGGCGCGGCCAAGACAAGGACAAGAAGAGGACAAGGCCCAGCCACAGAGCCCAGCACAGAGGACAAGAGGAGGACAAGAGCCCAGTGAGCCGTCCATAGCACACGAGCGCGCAAGCGCGCGCTCGCCCTGCTCTCTTTCTTTCTCTCTCTCTCTCTCTCTATTTAAGTTTCTCTTTCTCTGTCTTTCTCTCTGCAGAGCGCTGTAAGCGCGCCTTTCTGGAGCGTGAGCGCGCCGTCCAGAGCACACGAGTTCTCTCTGCAGAGCGCTGTAAGAGCGCCTTTCTGGAGCGTGAGCGCGCCGTCCAGAGCACACTGCTGTCTTTCTTTCTGTCTTTCTTTCTTTCTTTCTCTCTCTTTCTCTCTCTCTTTAAGCTTCTCTTTCTCTGTCTTCCTCTCTGCAAAGCGCGCTCTGAGCGCGGAGCGTATGTCAGAGTGCGCCCGATCGCGCCGTCCATAGCACACGAGCGCGCGCGCTCGCCCTGCTGTCTTTCTTTCTTTCTTTCTTTTCTTGTCTTTTCTTGTCTTTTCTTTCTGTCTCTCTCTCTCTCTCTCTTCTCTCTTTCTCTTCCAGCTTCCCAGCCACAGAGTTGACAGAGTTCAGGGGCGCAGCCAAGAGGAGGACAAGGCCTGGACACAGAGCCCAGAGAGGAGGAGGAGGAGGAGGAGGACAAGGCCTGGGCACAGAACCACAGAGTTGACAGAGTTCTGGAGGACACAGAGCCCAGCCACAGAGCCCACCCACAGCCAGAGAGGAGGACAAGGCCTGCGCAGAGCCCAGCCACAGAGTGTTCAGGGGCGCGGCGAGGAGGACAAGCCCTGGACACAGAGCCCAACCACAGCCCAGCCACAGAGTTGACAGAGTTCAGGGGCGCGGCCAAGAGCAGGACAAGAGGCGGCCAAGACGAGGACAAGAGGAGGACAGCCACACAGCCCAGCCACAGAGTTGACAGAGTT